ACATGTATATGGCACAGTGTGCACAGGAGAGCCCTGTGTGTGTACTTGCAGGCGGGGAGTCCCTGTGTGGGTGCGGGGCGGGGGGGTGGGGGGTGATGGGCGAGCTCACCGGGGGCCTCACAAAGAGAGGTTCGTTGTCGTCGATGTCCTCCAGGGCCACTTGCAGGGGCTGCATGGTCTCGTATGGCACTGGCTGGCCCAAGTCGCTGGCCACCAGGATGAGCTGGGGGGTGGAGGGGCACAGTCCGAGGAGGGCACTCCCTGGGGGCCAGGTCACCGCCCTTGTGGGCATTCTAGGTGGGGAGGTGGTGGCCCTGCGCCTAGAGGACAGCCCCTCTCGGCCCCGCCCCTTGCATTGGGGCCCGCCCCCTTACGCTGTACACAGCCTGTTTCTCGCGGTCCAGGCGCTGAGCGGTCTGGATGAGGCCGCTTATGGGGTCGATGGTGAAGTACTCCCAGTCCCGGTTGCCGGCCGTCTTCAGAAAGCTGTAGCGCACGGCCCCGTTGAGGCCCTCGTCCTTGTCTGTGGCATAGACCTCATATACATTGGAGCGCAGCGGGATCTCCTGTGGTGGGGGGTGGAGGGGCATGGCAGGGAGGCTCCTGGGCCATCTGAGAGAATGCCAGCTCCCACGCCCGGATGGAGCTCTTGTGCTTTGTCCTCACTTAGCAGAATGCCCTTGCCACCTTCTGGCATCCTTAGGAAACGCCTGCCTGCTTAGCTGGACTCTCCTGGAGTCTTGGCACCTGCTAGAGCCTCCCTTCACCCCACCCCCACTCCACTACCCAGTGATGGTCCCAGCTGGTCTCCATCCACCACGCTTCAGAGTCTTTCAGGGTTATTGCCCTTCCAGGGCCTTCCCCCGTCCCTCGGATCCCATTGCATGCTGAGATTTGGAAGGCAGAAGGGGAATCCAAAAGCTGAGGCCACAGCTACCATTCTGTTGCTGGGTCTGTCTTGCTCTCTGCTACCCTAATCACAGGAGCCTTAGGTGTCCCCAGACAACACCGTCTACCCAATGGGGTACATGAAAATGAGGGTACGTGAAAATTACTTAACGCAGCTGGTTCTCTGCGAGACACAAATCTTTCAAAATTTGGAGTCTTGAAGGGAAAAACGTAGCAAATGGGCCTTTGTTGTGGAAAAAGAACTAGATTGTTATTAATTTATACCATGCCTCGTTCCACAAAAAAAGATTTGAGACAATTTATAAGAATGTATAAGTTATAATAAGAGCAAACAAGTTAAAAAAAAATCGGGGTAAAGAAAAAGAAAATGGCGGCACCTGGGTGGCTCAGTCAGTTGAGTGTCTGACTCTTCTTGATCTTGGCTTAGGTCACGATCTTGAGGTTTGTGGGATCAAGCCCTGCGTCGGGCTCTGTGCTGACAACACAGGAGCTGCTTGGGATTCTCTCCCTCCCTCACTCCCTGCCCCTCTCCTGCTTGTGTGCACGTGTGCTCTCTCTCTCTCTCAGAATAAATAAACTTAAAAACATTTTTTTTTAAAAGGAAAAGAAAATGGCAGGAAGATGGAAACTGAGGAGTAGGGGTCCAGGTTTGTGCACTAAGTCCCTGCGGGGTCATTTGGCGTAGGCTGACTGCTCTGAGCTCCCCGGCGGGCAGTGCAAAGAGGACTACTCTGTCACTGCAGCAGGTGCTGGAAAAAGCAACTCACAAGGTAGGTGCACAGCGTTTCCTAGAGCGCGGCCCTGGGACAGATTTCTCCTGTGGGGCCTCTCAGAGGAGACAGAGTGACGACAAGGACTTGATGCTGACATTCTGAGAGGTGGAGGCATGCTGAAGTTTGGGGAACAGAGAGCAAGTGGGAGACACCCTGATTATACCACCAGGGGGCAGGTCGGGCCTGGGTGCTGAGAGGAAGGAGGGAAGGGGCAGATGAAGGAGTACTGCCTGTCTTTACAAGGCAATTTAAACAATTTTTTTAAAAAGTTTATTTTGAGAGAGAGAGGGAGAGAGAATCCCAAGCAGGCTCTGCACTGTCAGCATGATGCTGGACATGGGGCTTGATCCCATGACCTGAGCTAAGGTCACGAGTGAGACCCTTAACTGACTGACCACCCAGGCGCCCCTCCAAGGCAATTTAGAGCAAGGAACGAAAGGGTGGGGGAATTCTGGAACCTCAGCCACTTCCCCTTGTTTCTTATTTTGATGCTGGTACTCAATTCCTAGGCATGGTATCAGCAGGAACAACAGACAGACGGAAGGAACATGTGTTTATTTTGAGACACCAATATGGGGGGGTGTGAGTTTCCGGGGAGACTGGCTTTTCTGGTAGACTTCTCGGAGCAAGAGATGGGGCATCTAAAAAACACCCAGAAAAGTCACTTTCTCAAGGTCATTGGCTAGTAGTGACAGAGTCAGACTTGGGCCCCTTGTGCTGGCACAGCTCAGCTCATACTTCTACCCGCTGTGTGACACTGAACAAGTCTGTCTCCCACTCTGGCGTCAGCTTCCCCACTTTCACAGAGGGGCCCTTTCAGTCTCCCAGGCGTGACTGCAGGAGGAGGGAGTGGGCCGGATATGGGAAGGGAGATGTTGGTGGGCGGGAGGACCAGGGGACAGCAGTACCTCTCTGATGTGGAGGACCGTGCCGTTGGGCGGGCGCACGAAGACGGGGCGGTTATCATTGACGTCGATGACCTCCACCAGGAGCATGGTGGTGCCCCAGAGTGGAGGCTGTCCGCCATCCGTGGCCACCACGGTCAGGTTGAACCTCTCGTAGGACTGCAGTGGCCGCTTTGTGGTCACCAGGCCTGAGTCTATGTCCACGTGGAAGGCCTCTGGCAGGTGGGACAAGAGAGCAGGGCCTGGCTCTGGCTGAGACGTCCTTCCCGTCCCTCCTCCTCCTGGCCCTGGGGCTGCCCCTCTCACGCCCAAGGCATCATGGGTGGGGAGCAGACTACTTACCCACGCCAGGGCCCTCAAGTGAGTAGGCCAGCTCCCCATTGGAACCCTCATCCTGGTCGGTGGCCATCATGGTGATGACTGAGGTGCCTGCCGGCTCATTCTCATACACGCTTGTGCTGAACTGGGGCTTGGAGAACTGTGGCCTGCAGTCATTGACGTCTAGCACCTGGATCACCACCTGGGGGCGGGGGGGAGGTTGAGGTCAAAGGTCAGGAGCATACTAGGTTGCTGCTTCAGGTGACCCGGTCACACGGGAGTAAGCCAGGGTGGACAGTGCCCACTGTTGGAGTCTGACCTCAATTTCTTTAACCCCGAGTCTCAGTTTTCCTCGCCTTTGGGGATGGTAGCATCTTATCTCTCAGAGGCTAGTGAGGCTCACCCATGATGGTATGTGTGCCCAATGCCTGGCTCAAGGAAATGCTTTGCAGCTAGTACTGTGGTTACAGGATCATCTGCGTCTGGGCCCAGAAGCAGGGAGCCCTCCTCGCCCACCTCCTGCTCTGCCCTCTGCTGCTTCCCACAGTGGCCCTAGACATCTGACTCTGATCTCTGGATCTTAATGCTGGGCTGTGCTTCCTCCACTCCCAGAAGTTCTCTCTTGCCAGGGATCTGTGTCTGGCTTGGGACTTGGCTCCCTCTGCCGACCCCACAGCCCGGGGCGGGTCCTATGGACACAGCAGGTGAGGAGGCCCTTTCCCCGCGTAGCTCCCATGGCCCTGACAGCAGCCTCATCCGAGTCCTTCACGGCGGTGATTTCAAGAACCCCTCTCTGTGCACAAAGCACTTGCCAACTCCCCATCTCCCTGCCTCACCACTGCCTTGGGCAGGAAGCATCATCATTGCTGCCCTTTCTCCCATCCCCTACAGATTTGACAGCTGAGGCTCGGAGAGGTCACATGCCAGATGCAGGGTGCTCAGCTAGTGGGATCTCTGTCTTCTGGCTCCAAATAATGGGCTTTTCCCATCACAGCACGTGTGACACGACACAGCCCATGTGACAGGGACAGGATTCGGGTACGTGTGAGAGCTCCCAGCCCCTTCGCCCCCCTACCTGCTCACAAGAATTTGTCTTTGCCCACCCGACTTCTCACCCACCCCCCACCCTTTACCTTGGATGGTTAGGTTATTGCGGGAAGATGTGGAGGAACTGGATAGAGAATGACAGGACTGGAGAAGGCAGAACAGGGGGGACGAAAGAAGGAGAAAGCAAAGCCTCAAGGCATACTCTGGAGAGAAGTGGGGATAGAGTTTAGAAGGTGGTACGCTGGCCTCAGGGTGATGGCATCGGTGCCAGAACTGGAATAGGAATGGGGCTGGGAACTGGGTCCCTCGCTAATGTTCTTTAAGAGACATAAATAAAGATAATCGCTCTATGATTATGTTTGGTTGCTAGACTGTTTCCTTCCGTGGGTCACCGTGGACAGTGGGACACGTGGCACCCCAGGTTTGACTCAAGTCACACTCAGGTGTTTTCAACTGTCTTAGCAGGGGTTTGGCACAAGAGATTTCTCTTCAAGAGTCCCCGCTTCCCCAAGCCACAGCCATTTTGACTCAGCCAGCTAAGCTCTTGCTGTCTCCTCCTCTGCCGCCATGTCTCTGAGGAGACCGGGTGGCTCTCCTCCCACTCTGAAGCATTATCTAAAGGAAAGGCTTTGCTTGATGCCTCCACAATTCTAGTCCTCGGTGTCCCTGGCCCAGGCTGGTGGCCCTTACCTGCACCGAATTTTCTCGGCGGTTGCTGGCTATATCTCCAGGGTTGTCTTTGGCCAAGGCAGTCAGAATATAGTGGTCCTTCTTCTCCCGGTCCAGAGAGGACAGCACATAGATGTCACCCTAGTAGGGGGAGGGTGGAATCAGGTCCTTCATCAATCCAACTGATATTTATTGAGTATACACTATACGCCAGACATTGTTCTAGGCTTTGCAGGTGCAGCACTGGACAGAACGGATGACCGCCCCCGCGGAGCTCTGGTTCCAGTGGCTCCTCTTATCCCCAGTGCCCAATCCGCCTGGACATGGGACGGTCAGCCCAGGATGGAAGTCACTCCCTGGCCAGGTATAGAGTGGTACTCTGTAAATAGTTGCCCTTCCTAGGGCCGGGCCAGGACCATGACTGACTGTTCACACCAAGCAGGAAGGACAGAACCCTGTTGACAGGGCAGAGTTCTGGGGGACGTGGGCAGGGAGAGGCAGTAGGAGGGAAAGTCCAGTTCCAGCCCAGCTCCTAGGGAAGGCCCTACCTGACCAACCGCCCCCAGGCCACCATGGTCTCTCCTGTGCTGAACTAGCAGCTTTGAACCAATGTACAGTCATTTGAAGTCATCACCCGTCCTTTCTCTTGAGTTTCTGCTCTCTCACAAGTCTGAGACCTCCCTCCCCCGGCACGGAATACAGTGCCATGTATACAGCAGGAGCTCAAACACCGCGCCCACTTTCTGCAGAGCTTCCTATACCTCTCTTTTGATAGTTTTAAAAAGCAGCCTCGTGGACTTGCATCAGGTTTTCTGGTTTGGGGGAATTCCAAAGGTCTCTGGCCCCAGGAAAGAAAGTGCGGTCTACAGGATGTCTGGGACTGTAGCGGGGCTTGCTGACTTGGTAAAAAAACCTCTGAGGCTACAGACGTTCTGGTGGCATGACCCAGAAACCGGGATGACTATGATACTTTTGGTGGCTTTTCAGCCTACGACCCTGGGCCCTTCCCACTGCCCGGTTTGCCTGCTTACCGTAGCGGGGTTGATGGCAAACTTGCCCTCTCCATCCCCCAGGCTGTACTCAAGGAGGGCAAAGTTGCCTGAGTCGGCATCAGTCGCAGCGACTGTCAGGATGACCGTGCCCACAGGCACATCCTCAAAGACGGCCTCCTGGAACCCAGCGGGCAGGGAGAGAGAGTGGGCCAAGGTCAGTCCTGGAGTCTATGCCCCTTCCCTAAAAACTCACCATGGTAGACAGCCCAGGGCACCACGCTGCTCACGGGGTGGTCATGCCCCTGGGGCTCAGAGGCTGGCAGGGTAAGGGTAGAAGATGCCCGAAGGCCCCAAGGAATGGGCCCAGGTCCTGACCCAACTTGTTGCCCGGCCCCCCACCTGGTAGGAAGGCTGGTCAAAGATGGGGTTGTTGTCATTGATGTCCACGATCTCCAGGTAGACAGGGATCTCAGCTGCCCGGGGCGGAGACCCGTTGTCTGAGGCCCTCACGGTAAAGTTGAGCCAGTGTACTTCTTCGTAGTCCACTGTCCGGTTGGCAATGACTTTCCCTAAGACACAGAGGCACTTGCCGCCAGTTTTACCACTCCTCACACATGGAAACTCTCCAAAGTATAAAGAGAAGGATCTGGAGCCCTGAGGGGCAGATGTGGTCTCTTGAAGGAGAGTGGTGGCCCAGCAGCACTGCCTAGTGGCAGGCCGGCCAGAGGCCGACAGCAACTGGTGTCCAGCTCTTCTCCTCACTGGAGGCGAGAGAAAGCTTCACAAGTCAAAGGGATGAGTTCCGGCAAGGCCGGGACCACCTCGGAGAGATCGCTCTCTTGGCTTTCTCACCCCCTCAGTGATCCTGAGAGCGGAAGCCTGGGTGGTAGAGATGCTGGTGACATATCATCCCAGGTTCCCAGCGGCCCTCAAAGGGCCGGTCCAGCCCACCCCCAGGACCAGGCGCTCTGTCCCTTCCTGTGGTTTGGGCATCCGTGAGTGACGGCAGTGTGGGCCATACTGGATCTGGCCCAGCCCACTGAGGGGCTATGGTGGGGTCCCGCCCGGAGGGTGACAAGTGGGCCATGGTCCCTTGTGGAGGCTAAGCAGGAACAGACACATGTCCCCCAGTCCTCTTCTGGCAGATTTTTCCCACTTACCTGCTGAGGAGTCTTCCAGCTGGACATAGCCTGGGGGCGTCAGGTCCAGCAGAGTGTAGGTGATCAGCCCATTGAGGCCCTTGTCGGGGTCCACAGCTGCCACGGCAATGAGTGTGGTGCCTGGGGTGGCCCCCTCCAGAATCCGCTCCGTGTAATAGGTGATCCCGAAGGGCTTGAACTGGGGCGTATTGTCATTGACGTCCAGGATGTTGACGGTCAGCTTGGCTGGCGTGGAGGCAGGAGGTGAGGGTGACGTGAGGGGTGCCACTGTGGCTGGACCAGGCTTCCTAAGTCTCAGTCAAGGCTGGAGAGGGTGGGGCCTTTCACTGCCCTCCCGGGACTCCCTGGAGCTTGACCCAACCCTTGTGTGGTAGCACGTGACCCTTTTCTCTGGTCTGGTTGCTCACTCTTCCGTAGGGGAACTGGCTGGGTGACCTTGGTGGAGCTGCTGGCCCTGACTGTGCCTCAGTTTCCCAGGCTGTCCAATGAGGTAGGACTATGATGGTCTTTAAGACCCTTGCCACGGTTCAGCCTTCTACTTCCTGTCTGAGTCGTCCCCTCTACATAGCCTGCCCCGGCCCTTTGCCCTCTGAGTGGAGAACATGTAGGCCATGACCAGATCTGCTCTTCCTTACTGAAAACTTGGGTCTCTGGTCTGTAATAATAAGCAGCCAATATCTGCCAGGCCTATCTCCCCACCCCAGCCGCTGTCCATGCCTCATGGACATGAGGCAGAGGTGGCAGAGGTGACTTGAGGCTACCCCTTCTCCACATCCCCCTCCCCTTCCCGCTCCGCCCACACAAAATCCCCTCCAGCCCCTCCCAGCTCATGCCTAGGGCTGCAGGAGGGGGGGGTGGGGGGGGCGGCCTTGTGCCCTTCTCTGCTCTGGCGCCTGTGCCCTCCAAAGTGGTGTCGTGGCCTCCACAGACATTCATGTTTCCTTGCACTTTCCTGTCTCTGGGCGGACCCCATGGCTTTCTATCAGATCTGAGGTTCCTGTCACACATGCCAGCCACACCTCCTTGTCAGTTCTGATAATGAGATTGTGGCCTACGTCTCTGTTGTTCTGTCATTTTCTCAGGGCCCGTCCAGCCTCTACCCAAGCCTCCTTCCCACTCTGAGACTTTGGGTTCAAGATCACACATAGCCCTGGGCTTCTGGACCCCCACCGTTGAGCTCTGACCACTGGGACACAAGGCCACCCTGAGCCTCATGGTAGCTGCCACCTCTCATGCTCTTTGCATAGCCTGATGCCCGTTACCAGCCTGCTGCCCCTGCCCTGATCGGCTCTGAGTGACCCAAAGGAGATGCCCGGGGGGAGCCTTACCGTTTGGCACGCTGACAGAGCGCTCTGGTAGGTCACTGGCATTGTCGATCACTGAGAGAGTGACTTCATAGGTGGCAACCAGCTCCCGGTTCAGTGGGGACTTCACCATTACAGACCCTGTAAGACCAGACTGGGTTCAGTCTGAGGGGAGCCCCCTAAAATCTGGGCCTCCCAGGGGCTCTCCTGGCTAGCTCTCCCAAACCACACCAAGGGCAGTGGTCCCCCAGTAGAACTGGGACAGGCTGGTGACATCTTTGGCTGGGATGAGGCCACAGCCACCTGCAAGCTGGGGGCACCTCACTCAGCCCCTCACTCACTGCTTACTAGCCAGGTGGACTTGGGAAAATTATTTAACATCTCTGTGCCTCTGCCTCCTCATTTACGAAATGAGTACCTACTGCATAGGGCTATTTTGAGGATTATGGCAGTAAACCGAGTTTCCATTTGCAAAGGGTTCAGAACAGTGCTTGGCATAGTGCCATGTAATCGCTTGTTCCAAGAATGCTTACATTCTACAACAATGTGAGTATACTGAACACTGTTGAACTATCGAACTATTGAATTAAGATTGTGCATTTTATGCTCCGTGCATTTTATCACTTAAAAATTGCTTGTATTCTAGGGGGACCAAGTATAATAGAAGGTCAAGGCAGCTAAGAAGTCCTGAGGGTATTCCCTGGAGGGGATGGTGGTGGGGCAGGCTGGATAGTCAGGCCGACCTCTTTGTCTTGATTACGTGGGCATGACAGGGCCTGATTGTGGGGAACGAGGACTGTCCTGTGGAAGTACTAGCAAGGAGGTGTTCTCTTTTCTCCTGCCCACTGCCTCCCACGGCTGCTGCCTGCCCCTGAATCGCAGAGGAAACTTCCAGAGGCTTGGGCTTGGACTGGACAGACCTAGCTGGGCCAATCTCAGGGCTGGCTCTGTTGGAGGGCCTGGTGGCCAGATCCTAGGTGAAACTTGCTCTCTCCAGCTCCCTCTCAGAAAGTGTGGCCTCTGGGATTCCCTTCCCCCTTGGCAGATCCCCTGCTGGGCTTCTGTCTTCCTCGGGTCCCCCTGGGTGGTCACTTACCCTGGGCCGCTGCCTCCTCCTCCTCCTCCTCTTCCTACTCTCGCTCCCCGTCCCCGAGGTTGGGGAGCGAGGATGGGGAGAGGGTGGCTGCATTCAGTCTGCAAAGGCTGGGCCACGGCCTGGGCCCCACAGGATGGGAAGGGTGGTAGGGGTGTGGTATGGAGGAAGGCAATGGGGTGAAGCAGAGATGAGGTGGGAAGTGACAGAGAAACAGAGCTCAAACCTGCAGGCCTGCCAGCCATGAGGAAGAGAGAAGAGGGTTAACATCAGTTAGTTCAGGGTGCAGAGGGGATGGAGTAGAGCAGGGCATGGGGAACGGTAGGGTTCAGAGCAGACCAGGGCAGGAGGTTTGAGAGGGAAGGGAGTGGAAGGGAAGAGGCAGGGGGAAGGAAGCCAGGAGCAAGTGGGAGCCCCATTGGATAGAAGCACTCAGGGGACTGAGGCTCTGGCAAGAAGAAAGGGGAGGGAAGGTAAGCAGGTGAGGTAGGGAAGCCATGAGGAAGAGGGGGCAGAGAAGACACTGGAAAGAAAAATAGAGAAAAGAGAATCAGTCATAGGGAGGGAGAACAGAGAAGAGTGGTAGTAGAGGCATCAGTGGAACATAAGGTGGAGCAGGGTGCAGGGCAGCTTTCCATGGTCCTAACCAACTACTGTGGGGGGAATTTTGCTAACCTGGGACACGGCTAACCTGTCTAAATTCTCCTAGTGCTCATGGTTTTCCTGTCTTCTTTTTAACTCTGGGCCTCAGATGCATATTGAGTGAATCATACTCTTTGGTTCACTGCACCCTGTGGTCATTGATACCACTCTTGTTTTATGTATGTATCTATTCCCTTTTATTCCCACAACCCTCTCCCTCTTTCTCCCCTTGGTCAATCACTGTAATGGACTGAAGTATATTTTTCACTTGAAAGCGTTCCTGAAAATCATATATTGTGTTTGTGTATTTTACATTTACACAAATGGGATTGTGGTATATATATCCCATTCTAAGGTCTACGCACATTTCTCTGTGAATGTAATCTACTGCTTCTGATTGCTGCATGGTATTCATGGTGTACACTCACCATGTTTTACTCTCCAATCTCCTAGGGATAGATGCCCAGGTGGCCTCCAACTCCCACCACCAATAACATGGCAGGAAACATGACATATAGTCCTGTTACTGACCTGAGAATGTCCTTGGGACACATACCCAAGGAACAGAATTGTTGAGTCATGGGGTATGAGTGTACTTTGTGCTAGATTGCTGTCTAGATGGTGGAAGTGGTCTAGACTCCAATAGTAGTATACGAGTGTTCTGATGTCCCCATATTGCCACCAATACTCAATACTGTCCAGCATCCTAATATCTGCTAATTACATATGGAAAACTGTTATCTCACTGCTATTTTACTGTGCGTTTCTCTGAATAACAATGATTTTTAGCATTTTGTCATAGCCATATTAGTTCTCTGTCACTCTTCTGGGCCTTCCAAGAAGTGTAGTTGTAGGGGTCCCATGTCCCCTTCCTAACTCCCTGGAGTAGCAAAAACATGAAACTTTTGGGGAAATGGGAAAACCATCAAAGTTACAATAATCTGCGTAGATCGTGAAAGATAAACCACAGTTCTCCTTGTTTTGTGATAGTTTAAGAAAATCATCAAGGGTACATGTAAAATTTACAGTGGCCTAAATGACTAGCATACATATGAAGAAAGTGTTCAACCACCTGGGTATTAAAGAAATACACATTAAAACAAGGTATGATTTTCCTATACAACTACAAATGTGAAAACTTAACAGTGTTTATTTAGTACTGGCAAGAGTGTGGTGAGATGGGCGTTCTCATGGAACGCTGGTAGAGTGAGGGAATCTGGAAGGCGAGATGGAGCTGGTCCAAGGAGAAGGAGGAGGAGAGAAGAGAGAGGGAAGGAGCCAGGGAAGGGAGGAAAAAGAGAGGGAACAATGTGGTGTGGGGGTAGGGGAAGAGAGTAGGAGGAGCAGCTGAGGGAAGGGGAGGAGCAGAGAGGGAACAGAAAGAAGGGGGCATCGGGAAGAAAGCAGAGGGCAAGGAGACGGGCAGGGAGTCAGGGGTGGGGTGGGAGGGGAGCAGGCCCTTGTACCTGTGTTGATATTCACAGCAAAGGCATCCTCCTGGTCAGGCACCAGGCGGTCAGTGTCGTCCTTGGCCACGATGCCGATGATGTGGTACTCCAGCTTTGGGTTGAGGTCGCGGTCAATGGCGGTGACGTTGGCAATGACAGTGCCTGGCTCAGCCGACTCCAGCACGCTCACTGTCTGGATGGGGTTGAGGAACTCAGGACGGGAGTCATTGATATCGTCGATAAGGATGGTGATGATGGCCGTGCCTGAGAGAGGAACGGTGCCCCTGTCGGTGGCCACTACTGTCAGCCGGTAGGATTCCTGCTCCTCCCTGTCGATGGTGGCGTTGGCGACACGGATGACCCCAGTGACTGGGTGGATGACGAAGCGGTCCTGAGCCCCAGCTTCTATTCGGTAGATCAGCTCCCCATTGAGGCCACTGTCCCTGTCCGTGGCTGTGGCCTGAAGGACTGAGAATCCTGTGGGGGTGGGTATGGGGAGTGACTGAGCAGAGTGGCTTCTTCCAAAAACCTTATGCCAGATACATTCTTGGTGGTTCCTAAGGGCCCCTCTTGCCACCGTCTTGCCAGTGGTTATCTTTTGTATGTTTCCCATGTTTGAAACTTTGTAGGTAAATGGTATCTCATTTTATTTCATAGTCTGTGACTGAGAGATTGAAAAATTTGTAGTAATTTAACGATTAGCTGTATCTTGTGCAAATTGTCTGCCTTTGACCTGTGTCCATTTATCTGTCAATTTGTACAAATTACATAGTTATGGTAACTGGTGACAGATACCTTTTTCTCAGTTTGTTGTCTCCCTTTCAATATTGGTTGTTATTATTTGGTGTAAAGGAATTTAGTTTGGTATGCATCAAACTATAATATTTTTCCTTTTTTAAGGTTTGTTTCTTGTATGCTTAGAACCTCTTCGTCAGAAATCAGAAAAATATTTACCTAGAGTTTTTCCTTTTATTTGTAAATGCTTTCTACTCTTCTGTATTTTCTCTGGAATGTCTTTAGGTTTCGTCTCAGTGTCTGATAGAGGGTGAAAATCTACACTAAATATTTTTTTTTTTTTTTTTTT